AGCTGAAAATAGAACCCCCAAAATACCAGTTATACAGTATATTAAAGCAGTTTCCTTTGTATAAACTGTAAAACAAATTAACCCCCAAAATACCAGTTATACAGTTTCCTTTGTATAAACTGTAAAATTAGTTATACAGTATATTAAAGCAGTTTCCTTTGTATAAACTGTAAAACATCTGACTTGGTGAGCAAAATACCACTTATACAGTATATTAAAGCAGTTTCCTTTGTATAAACTGTAAAACATCTGACTTGGTGAAGTGAAAATTGAACCCCTCAGAATACCACTTACACAGTATATTAAAGCAGTTTCCTTTGTATAAACTGTAAAACATCTAACCAAAATACCAAAATACCAGTTATACAGTATATTAAAGCAGTTTCCTTTGTATAAACTGTAAAACATCTAACTTGGTTAGCTGAAAATAGAACCCCTCAGAATACCACTTACACAGTATATTAAAGCAGTTTCCTTTGTATAAACTGTAAAACATCTAACTTGGTTAGCTGAAAATATAGAACCCCCCCCCAAAATACCAGTTATACAGTATATTAAAGCAGTTTCCTTTGTATAAACTGTAAAACATCTAACCTGGTTAGCTGAAAATAGAACCCCTCAGAATACCACTTACACAGTATATTAAAGCAGTTTCCTTTGTATAAACTGTAAAACATCTAACTTGGTGAGCTGAAAATAGAACCCCCAAAATACCAGTTATACAGTATATTAAAGCAGTTTCCTTTGTATAAACTGTAAAACATCTGACTTGGTGAAGTGAAAATAGAACCCCCAAAATACCACTTATACAGTATATTAAAGCAGTTTCCTTTGTATAAACTGTAAAACATCTGACTTGGTGAGCTGAAAATATAACCCCCAAAATACCAGTTATACAGTATATTAAAGCAGTTTCCTTTGTATAAACTGTAAAACATCTAACTTGGTTAGCTGAAAATAGAACCCCCCCCCCCCAAAATACCAGTTATACAGTATATTAAAGCAGTTTCCTTTGTATAAACTGTAAAACATCTAACTTGGTGAGCTGAAAATAGAACCCCCAAAATACCAGTTATACAGTATATTAAAGCAGTTTCCTTTGTATAAACTGTAAAACATCTGACTTGGTGAAGTGAAAATAGAACCCCCCAAAATACCAGTTATACAGTATATTAAAGCAGTTTCCTTTGTATAAACTGTAAAACATCTGACTTGGTGAGGTGAAAATATAACCCCTCAGAATACCACTTACACAGTATATTAAAGCAGTTTCCTTTGTATAAACTGTAAAACATCTGACTTGGTGAAGTGAAAATAGAACCCCCAAAATACCAGTTATACAGTATATTAAAGCAGTTATCTTTGTATAAACTGTAAAACATCTGACTTGGTGAAGTGAAAATATAACCCCTCAGAATACCAGTTATACAGTATATTAAAGCAGTTATCTTTGTATAAACTGTAAAACATCTGACTTGGTGAAGTGAAAATATAACCCCTCAGAATACCAGTTATACAGTATATTAAAGCAGTTTCCTTTGTATAAACTGTAAAACATCTGACTTGGTGAGCTGAAAATAGAACCTCTCAGAATACCACTTACACAGTATATTGCAGCAGTTATCTTTGTATAAACCCTGAAACATCCGCAGATAAAAAAAGAAAAACGTGAGGGAAATTTCAAACAAGTGTATGTCAAAACCTACTTCTATATGTGCTGATTGATTAAAATCTTTTTGGTACGTCCTACGTCTTGGATGAATCAAGAGATGGACTGTTGGATATTGTAGATATTTATTTTGTTATGAGTAAAAAAACCTGAGTTGATAGATATAGGGAGGAGACTGTTATTGTTTTTTTTATTCAGAACTAACAAGTCAGTGCTGATGGGCCTGACATTTTCAAGAACACTGGGAAATGTTGAAGGACTTTGGTAGACACTGAGGAATTACAAAATGAGTGATATTAATTTAAAATGTTGAAGGTAATGTTTTTCTTTCATCTCTAATTAGACCTATACCAGAGTACATACAACACTGCCAGCTTTTCCATTGCCTGAGAAATGTGTTTTTAAAAACTAGATCCAAAACAATTTATAATATACACTAAGGTTCGTTTGCACTCATTAACTTTTTCCAGTAATAAATAATTTTGTAAAAATTGTAACTTTGATCCCAAGCATGGGAAAAGGACATTTTCATTACTCCTTGCCATTGACCACTTTAAAACTAAAAGCTGTAGGAGATTGAGATGCTTTCTTGATATCCAACCTGGATTATTGGGTCAAAGACTTCTTAATAACAGAGAAGTGTAGAAATAGAGAATAACCTGACATTTTCTTGTCTCTGCAAGTAGGACTAGTACATACCTTACCTGTCTCAGCTAGTGGGACTAGTACATACCTTACCTGTCTCAGCTAGTGGGACTAGTACATACCTTACCTGTCTCAGCTAGTGGGACTAGTACATACCTTACCTGTCTCAGCTAGAAGGACTAGTACATACCTTACCTGTCTCAACTAGTGGGACTAGTACATACCTTACCTGTCTCAGCTAGAAGGACTAGTACATACCTTACCTGTCCCAGTTATTGGGACTAGTACATACCTTACCTGTCTCAGCTAGTAGGACTAGTACATACCTTACCTGTCCCAGTTATTGGGACTAGTACATACTTTACCTGTCTCAACTAGTGGGACTAGTACATACCTAACCTGTCTCAGCTAGAAGGACTAGTACATACCTTACCTGTCCCAGTTATTGGGACTAGTACATACCTTACCTGTCTCAGCTAGTAGGACTAGTACATACCTTACCTGTCCCAGTTATTGGGACTAGTACATACCTTAACTGTCTCAGCTAGTGGGACTAGTATATACCTTACCTGTCTCAACTAGTGGGACTAGTACATACCTTACCTGTCTCAGCTAGAGGGACTAGTACATACCTTACCTGTCTCAGCTAGTAGGACTAGTACATACCTTACCTGTCCCAGTTATTGGGACTAGTACATACCTTACCTGTCTCAGCTAGTGGGACTAGAGTATACCTTTCCTGTATGCCAGTTGGGTTCTGAGGTTGGTGTTATGTTGTTGTCATTTGAGAACAAGACATAACTTACTTGGATTGACCATGATTTACATGGCATGTGTCATCAATGATTAAGCATTTCCTTTCCAGAACTTCTACTTTTCTCCTTGGACCTTTTTATGTGTGTATATAAATCTTTCTTTTCTCTGTTTTTTTCCCTAGTTTTATAAAATTTAAATTTGATTGAAGATTCTGTCAATACAGCATTTTTGTTTACTATTTATTATAAATATTTTTTATTCTAAGGCCACATCTTTCATTAACAAGTCCGTAAATGACTCCTTTATCAAATACATCAATAAATAAGTCACTGATTAATCTTAATTGCTGATAATTTCCTTGTAAACCTAAATAATACAACTTTGTAAATGTACTTATTTTTGCACAATCAAATTTGAACTAAACATCATGTTTTAACAAATAAATGATGAATATCTATAGTTACAATAATTCCTATGTTGATGATATAAAGAAACAGCAATTAACACCAAACAAATTTATTGCTGAAATAAGATTACTGTGTACTGCTAAAGTATATACATTCATAGAGGTAACAATTCTTAATGAAAGTTATAAACACAAGAAAGTTACGAACACAAGAAAGTTACGAACACAAGAAAGTTACAAACACAAGAAAGTTACAAACACAAGAAAGTTACGAACACAAGAAAGTTACGAACACAAGAAAGTTACAAACACAATTAAGTTACGAACACAACAAAAGTTATGAACACAAGAAAGTTACGAACACAAGAAAGTTACAAACACAATTAAGTTACGAACACAACAAAAGTTATGAACACAATTAAGTTACGAACACAACAAAAGTTATGAACACAAGAAAGTTACCAACACAAGAAAGTTACGAACACAAGAAAGTTATGAACACAAGAAAGTTACAAACACAATTAAGTTACGAACACAAGAAAGTTACAAACACAAGAAAGTTACGAACACAAGAAAGTTACGAACACAAGAAAGTTACGAACACAAGAAAGTTACGAACACAAGAAAGTTACAAACACAATTAAGTTACGAACACAACGAAAGTTATGAACACAAGAAAGTTACGAACACAAGAAAGTTACGAACACAAGAAAGTTACAAATACAATTAAGTTACGAACACAAGAAAGTTACAAACACAAGAAAGTTACAAACACAACGAAAGTTATGAACACAAGAAAGTTACGAACACAAGAAAGTTACGAACACAAGAAAGTTATGAACACAAGAAAGTTACGAACACAAGAAAGTTACGAACACAAGAAAGTTACAAATACAATTAAGTTACGAACACAAGAAAGTTACGAACACAAGAAAGTTACAAACACAAGAAAGTTACGAACACAACGAAAGTTATGAACACAAGAAAGTTACGAACACAAGAAAGTTACGAACACAAGAAAGTTACAAATACAATTAAGTTACGAACACAAGAAAGTTACGAACACAAGAAAGTTACAAATACAATTAAGTTACGAACACAAGAAAGTTACAAACACAAGAAAGTTACGAACACAACGAAAGTTATGAACACAAGAAAGTTACGAACACAAGAAAGTTACGAACACAAGAAAGTTACAAATACAATTAAGTTACGAACACAAGAAAGGTATGAACACAAGAAAGTTACAAACACAAAAAAGTTACAAAGAAAGTTACAAACACAATTAAGTTACGAACACAACAAAAGTTATGAACACAAGAAAGTTATGAACACAAGAAAGTTACGAATACAAGAATGTTACGAACACAAAAAGTAACAAACACAAGAAAGTTACAAACACAAGAAAGTTATGAACACAAGAAAGTACTTAAATACTATGAAAGGTTGATAGAACGTACAATGTTGACTTTTGTTACTGTCATAATAAACCATCACCTGTAATCTAATTATAACAAAGTGATGTTGAAGCTTCACTTTTATTTATGAAGACCATAATATTTGTACATTTCTTCCAAGTGTTACCCACAAGCCTGTTTACTTCACAGTTTCTTGGTTATAATCCAGCTTCTGTACTAAAGTCACTATAAATAAGGGCTCTATGGCTCAACCTGTCATTAATCTGCATCTCTGTAGATTCTAATTGGACAAATGGTTAGTATTGAAACAGTTCAGATCAATTATCACTAGGAATTCTCATCAGATCCTCTGACATGGAAGGCCAGCTGTACAGAGACTTCTTCAAAGGGAGATAAATCTGGAATAACAAATATAGATGATTTAGATAATATCATTTGATTAACTCCTGTTTTATGATACTGTTAAGATCTAACAAGAACTAAAAAATATCATAAAAGTTTTAGTGAATTCAAGTCAAATTACAAAGAACCAACACCTAAAAATATATCAGGTATTCCTCTTTATACAGGTAGTCACTGATCAAAAGAATGTTTAATGTAAACATGGTTTTTATTGAGGGGTTTATTTTCGTTATCTTTTATAACAAAGTGTATGCACAGGGTTATGTTCACAATAATTGATGTACATTCCTATATCTAATGCATATTTCAATATGTAATATGTTACAAATTTTTAAGCATAGGTGAAATTTAAACTGCCTTATGATTTCCATGTAGTGTAAATTTCCCCAACATGTAAATTTCCCTTTTAATAGTATAATTTTTTATATGAAGGAAAATCACAGTAAATTGGATTCAGGTTTGATACATAAGCTGAAAACAGATATTTAACTAGATGATATTGTCCTGCCAATAATTCAGATTGCAAAGAAATGAAGCAGTCACAGCTGCCTGTAGATCATCATATAAAATACAAGGATAAACCAAAAGTTTCCAAACTTATCACTAAAGGACAAAACATATTGATTATACAATCATCCTTTCATACTAATTAATAACCATGGGAAGTTTCATTCCATGACGGTGAACACAACTTTCCTCAATTCAATATAGCAATCTGATAAAAAAAACCTTTAGTTTGAAAACTTGACTTTAAGTAGAAAAACAAGCTTGCGATACATATGATTTTATCAAATTACTGAAAGACAAAACATTTTGAAACTATATATATTTGTAACTTTAAGATATAATCCATCAAAATGTACAATTTACGGAAACAATTTAAAGTTCCAAATCAAGAGATTGCCTCTGGCAATGGTATTGCATAATGAAATCAGAATGTAACTGTACAAAAGATTATAAATGGTTTAATTTTCTACTGTAAAAACCTGTGTGTATAGTGTGCAATTTTTCATGAGAAATGGAATGTTCCTGGTGGGGAGTGCACACTTTATGTCGATATAGGATTTTTCTCTTTTTTTTCATTTTTTCGTGGAAAGATCGAAGTCTTTGTGTGGCTGCCATAATTGATTGTCAGGGTTGTCTTATACACAAAGATTTACGAACAACAAAAATATCTAAAAGTATCAATGTATATATTAATGCAAACTCTAGGAGGCGACATTATCAAAATCGGGACAAAGTGTTTTAAATCGTGATAGCAACTTGCAAGACAAGAAATTTCCGATTGGTAAAGACAGTGGCAAGTGTGGAATATTGAAAAATATGTCAATTTTACCTGTATATTACTATCTTTTTATACGTTTAATATTTTCCGACTGTTAAGAAATGACGGGATTTATTCTATTCTCTTCCACATTGGATATCATAACAGAAAAGTCATGTGCACTGGCCTGTTGGTGTATTGGTGGAAGTTAGCGTTTTATATATCAGTATGCAGAACCTGCATTGGTCTTATGCCTACCGATTTATTATTTATTAAAATCGGTCTCATAAGTGTTTACAAAGCATATCTGTGAGTTTTATGATAACATGTCTACCTATTATTCATAATAAGGATAGACTTGGTGCAATTATCTTATCAAAATGTGTAGAGAAAGACCGTTACTCTTTGACAAAACACACTTTCTACGTTCTGTGCTCTGCATACCAATTGCTTGCGATACAGAGTTGAGACCTCATTTTGTGTTAGCTGTGACAGCAGGACATGAAAGAGAACTTCACTCACGGAGGTTGTAATTATGTGGCCATTTTATAATATTGCATGATGAAGAACATAAAATCTGAGATGCTGATGTGTTAAACATGTATATATGTCTCTCATAAACATCATAAAATGATAACAGGACGTATTCTTTCTTACATTTTTTTTTTTACCTATTAAATTAACATATAACATGATGACATTGCTTTCGAGTATAACGCACATACATGTACTGTCGGTGATTGAGGAAAATTGATCTCTCCTCAACTTAATCAAATTTACAAATATGAAACTCCACAGAATGCTGTACTATAATCATATTAACCATACATTTTCTGATGATGATAACTTGTTTGAATATTTTAGGCAATTATGCCTCAAGATGCATCACGATTACTCATGGCATTTGTATAAAACATATACATGTGTGCCAAGCTGTCACTCTACCAAGAATAAAACTGTCAGCACTCTGGCATTCTTTATATATGAAACTGAAAGTAGGTTTATCAATGTATTGCAATCATATAAAGTAGATATATCTTTTGATGTCACTTACTTTATTTAGTATTTTAGGATATATGATTGAAGGCTGCCCTCCGGTACACAATGTACAGTGATCATGGAGTAACTCTCCATTACTGTGTACAGGTGTACTCTGATCATATCTATGATGTCACTAACTATATTGATAATTTTACATTTTCTGAAGAGTTTTTACAGCTCTTACATTCTCTGATTATCACTTGTTGTTGACTTTTAGATAGATAATTAATAATCACTATAGGTAGAATTGACTTAAGTTTACAACTACATTGTCTGACAAAAATCTACAGTATACCACTGTTGGTAACAATGAAATAATGTTTATAACAAATAACACTGAATGAATATCTAAATCTACTCTTGTATGTTTTCTGATATCAGTAAACAGTCATGACAAGCCTTCCATAACACTAGCTTTCCCCCTATTATTATCCACCTTTACTGCACTGAATGCCATCTGCCTGTTGCCATGGTGATTGGGGAGATAACCCATTCCCAGGACTCTACAGCAGGTGCCCTTTACCAAACACAAAGACCCGCCAACCCCACACTCATTACTTCTTTCCCTGTTGATAAAGTTTAAGTTTAGAGAAAATCTCCGACCATTTGGCCTTTTAGTTGTTGAGGGATGATCTCCTGCTTTGTGTTCTAACTACCCCGACTGGCCGTCAGACTCCAGGACCGTGGCCCCTGGTGACTGACAGCAGCGATGAAAAGGCGCTTGTTATATCAAACACACCATCATTATAGCAGATTTATTTTGTGAGATATCAAGAGAACTTTTGTAATTAGACACAAGTCTGTGAATATTGCTGGCATTTTCTTGCCCCATATCTTTTGACAAAAAAAATGGGGGACCCGTTATCAGTGGCGTTCTGTCAGAAGTGTTCGATAAGGAATGCTGGATTTTAAATGACACCTCCATTGGTCTTCATTAGGGACGAGGTGAAGCAGAGCTTACAGAATGAAACACAACACTACCTCCTCTGCCTATCGCCTCATCCTATCGTCCTGGACAGATCATTAATTTCACAATAACGAAGAATAAAACAGAGTAGAGCATTTTATAATACAAAAAAAAAAAAAAAACAGTTAATAAAATTTGTCCTTTTTAATTTGATGTTATTTATTTTCAGTCATAATTTTAATTGATCTCATTATCACCCTGAACATTTATTAACCAATTGTAGAATGTCCCTGTAGTTGTTGGAATGATAATATTACCTCATGTTTGTTTTCTGTCTAGCATGGTGTGTTTTTTCTTTTTCATACCCATCTTCTCCATAAAGATTACCAAGGGAAAATGTGTTCATTATACTATGAAAATCAATGGTAGGGTACACTACATCTAGTTACCATGGATACACTATATCTAGTTACCTTGGCTACAGTATATCTAGTTACTGTGGATACACTATATCTAGTTACCATGGATACACTATATCTAGTAACCATGGATACACTATCTATTTACCATGGATACACTATATCTAGTAACCATGGATACACTATATCTAGTTACCATGGATACACTATATCTAGTTACCATGGATACAATATATCTAGTTACCATGGATACACTATATCCAGTTACCATGGATACACTATATCTAGTTACCATGGATACACTATCTATTTACCATTGATACACTATATCTAGTAACCATGGATACATTATATCTAGTTACCATGGATACAATATATCTAGTTACCATGGATACACTATATCTAGTTACCATGGATACACTATATCTAGTTACCATGGATACACTATATCTTGTTACCATGGAAACACTACATCTAGTTACCATGGATACACTTTATCTAGTTACCATGGATACACTATATCTAGTTACCATGGAAACACTATATCTAGCTTTGACCTGACACTGTCCTGATGACTATAGCTGTAATGTATATAAGTACAAATTCCACCTTATAAATCAGGTTAATGACACCAAACATTGATCAGGAAATATTTTAACAGGGTTGTTTAACACGAACACTTGTAAACATTTATTCTCCATAACTTCTGTCACTTAGTATAAATATTGTTTGATAAGGTAATGGAATTTCTGTCGGATCAGATCAGAAATATGTATACATAGGTATCTGTCTGATTACTATCAGCTGGCTTCACATTTATATCATACCAAAGTTTCTATCTGTAAGATATCTTATTTCTTCAAAATCAATTAATGTCATACAACGATTCCTGTAGACATATATCACCTTTATGATAATATAAACTGTACAATATTTTCTCCAAATGAAAGTCATATAACAGCTTAGATTATACAATAATTTCTCCCAACTGAAGGTCACCCAATAGCTAGGATCATTAAATAATTTATCTTTCCGAAGGTCATATAACACAACAGTTCATGCAATTTCTCCCTTTAAAAAAATTATAATTCAACTACTTAAGACATGAAATTATTCCCCACAGAAGGAAACACAACAATTAAACTAGGTCATATTATAAGTGGATTGTTTTACACACTGACCCTACTTTTTATTGTAACTTTCCATGTGCTGACTCTACTATAACTTTCCTTGTTCTGACTCTACTATAACTTTCCTTGTGCTGACTCTACTATAACTTCCCTTGTCCTGATTCTACTATAACTTTCCTTGTCCTGACTCTACTATAACATTCCTTGTCCTGACTCTACTATAACTTTCCTTGTC